TCGCTTAAATAAGTGAGACAAAATACTCTGTTTTATCAGTGAGTTTAGACAAGTACTTTATTTATTTACTGGCCTCTGAAATCAGAGGACTAGACTCCTCCATGCAGAGGTCCAGTTGCCCTTAAGGATTTTAAATCTATAACCAGTTCACTAAATATTGAGAGAGCTTTTTCTAAACGGTTGCAAAAAAAAAAAAACAACCCCACCCTTATCTGATATACTAAGGCTGTTTTTCCCTGGCTGCCAAATACCCAAGTGCAGTTGAACTTTCTAGGTATGATCTGGATACATAAATCCTGAAACTGTTTCAGTCAGTGCTCTATGGCGGTATGAAAGCCCATTCATGCACACACACTAAAACAGCTTGATGACAACAAAGAAATGCAAAATAATCTGTGGACATCCAACTACATCATAAAAAACAAACAAAATCTTTGCCAAAATAAATGTGTTCCATATATACCTTATCATGTATATGTTCATATTTTTAGTTATTACAGTACGCCAGCATACAAAATAGCTCAGGTTAAGTTATCAAAAGCAAGGTTGAATTGATTTACATGCAAGAGGAGACTGCTTGTATTCAAAATTCAGTAGTCAAATAATTACTAGTCAATATTTTTCCCCTTTTCTAGCGCATTTATTCTGATCATGGGTCTTCTTAATCATTTTTTCTCTTTAGTATTTTCAAGCAATTAAAAGCACCTAAATATTCAGCCTTTCTCTATTTTGCAACAGAAAAATGACAGTTCTAGTTGGATGATTCTGCTTTTCAAAACCATATGTCTAACAGATATTAATTTAAAAACCATATTTATAACTAATTAACAAGGGAGCATAATAGCATAATGATTAAAAATAGGAAATAATGTAATATTTTTAAAAAGCTGCTTTAATGTGGCAATTCAAATTCCATATGGAGAAGCCAAAGCCATCATTGCTGAGAGTGCATACCACTATGAATTTCAAGTGGGCCTATAACTGGATTTTTCTGGATGTTGACTGAACAAGAAAACGGTATTTTTCTGATTGTGTAGTAGGGTGAGATGATGAAGTATATCTGTAGAAACTCTAATCCAAACTTTTTGGCAAGGGGGGAGTGCCTTCAATTATTAACTCCTGGTGACTGCCTGGACTAGTCCCTGCAATTTTCTTGGCAGGATTTCAGAAGTGGTTTGCCCTTGCCTTCTTCCCAGGGCAGATAGAGAGTTATTGGCCGAATGTCACACAGCTGGCTTGGTGCTTAAGGCAGGACTAGAACTCTCAGCCTCCTGTTTTCTAGGCTGGTGCCTTCACCATTACACCAAACTGATTTTCAATCCAAACTAGCCAATTCATATAATAACCCAATATGACCTCAGGTGCAGTCTCAAGACCAAAGTGAATCAGCTCTTTCTTTAGGACTGTAGCTCCATCCTTATATTATGTTTAACACCTACTGTGTATATACGGTGCTTTAAATAGAGAAGGCTGACTGAAGTTATAAAATATTTAAAGGTAAATCTTAGAATACATTGCCACACATACTAGAAAGGTCAACTCTATCTTAGAGGGAAAAAAGTCTTGAAGAATGTGCCTTTGTACATAAGCTTGGTTTGAGAACTGAATCAAAAATAATATCAGGCATCTTGGTTTCTGAAGCAATTATACAAAAGGCATAATATAATGCAATGAAGGACTGAAAAGGTTTATTCAAAAATATGTCCCTGAGTTCAACATGACTTATTATCTAATAATTATGGCATTATCTTCTAATGACTGTGTTTAGAATTGCAGAGTGAATGTTTAAAAGATATAAAAGCATTGTGAGGTGGTATGCTGTCTTCAGAAAACATGAAAGTTTTTTAACCATCTGTCTTCTATCAAAGCATCATTTCCTATATTTCTTTGTCCAGAATTCCTGTAACTCAAAACTTCCATTACCTTTCCTCTATTTGCATAGTTGAGATTGAAATAATCATAACTCAAAATGGGGGACTGATGGCAATCACAAGTAAGTCCTTCTCCTTCATCCCTGCCCTGAACAAACTGAGACCATTATTATGAGACTTCAAAGTCAAAAACATTGTACTCCAGCAGGTTTTGCCCACAGATAAGTGGAAAATAACTACTTGTAAGGAGCAAAGGTCTCTTTGTTAACATATCCTTCCCTAGAATATTCATTAGCTATACAGATATTCCCAGAGAGAGGTACACTGATATGAAGAGGACCACAAATTAAGTCTGTGAGAATGTCCCCAACCTTCCATCAATCAACACAGAAAATAATCTCCAACTCAGGATCTGGAGCGTAATCTCAAGAGACTTAACTTAGTTAAGATGGTATCCTAGAGTCAATTGTATGGAACACCATTTTCATTTCCAGCTTTATTCTGCTGAAGAACACTCATTCCTGTTGCTGCAGTTCTTTTTCCTAGACCAGATGCAGTCTCAACCATACAGTATTAGATATAAACCCAGAGCACGCTCTTGATCTTGATGACTTTCTGCTATATAAGCATGTATAAAAAAAAAAAGCCTGAATTAACATTTTTAATAAGTCAAGAAAAGTGGGATTCTAAAGTACTATGCAATCAATA